AACGCCCTGGTCTGACCAAGGGTTAGATGTGGGTGGCAAATATTAATACAATTTTCAGATATACATATTTAATATAAAGAGCACCTCCTTGGATTTCAGCTTGTAAGTATGTAGAGAATGTAACATTTTAAAAGGGGGGGGGGGGGCATCTGAGAATGAAGGTAGGGGGGAAAAAAGATGAAATTAGCAGCAAGCTGGAGGTCAAAACCCTCCAGTGGTGCTCCTGTGCCAACAGTGGTTCAAAATGTATCAATGAACCAGACCAATTAAGCCTAGACCTGCACTGCTTAGGCAGTGCTTCTTCCAGCTTGTAGAGAAGGATCGGGAAAGTTCAAACCTTCCACTTGCTGTGAAATGTAATTAATGCGTATTTTTGGAGGGGCAGCATGTGTGGGCGGGTATATATGCACACGCATGTCTTGGCCACTCCTGTGCCACACAGAAAGAAGCTGCAGGGAAAAGTTTGGGGAAGACAGGGTGTCCATCAAAAGCACATGAAGCAGAGTGCTTTCTGTCCATCTGTTACTTGCAAAACTGAGAAGCTGTGCTCCATTCTGTAGATCACACTTCTAAATGAGAAATGAGCAAAACTGGAATGTGCTTGGAGGTGAGAGACAAGTATGGGGGAAGGACCTCAGCTTATGAAAATGTGCAACACTAAAAAGAAATGTGGGTGCTGGGCCTGGTGGAGGTGGGGGGAGATAGGGAGAACTGCACTTGGCCGCTATCTTGAAACCAACTCAAGGCACATACATGGGATGGAGAAAGGGGCTGTTGTGTAAACCCTTAAGACAGAAAGAGAAACAACGAAAGGAAGGGGAAAGATTCAGGTGGAGCACTACACTCAGGTTGCAAAGATGAAACGGGCTCCATCTTACCCACGCATTCAAGTAACACATGTCATGTATCGGCGATGTGTCAGCCACTGATCTGACACCAGGGACGTGGCATTCAACAGGACAAACAGATTCCTCACAGCGAGAAGATTATAAACTATGTCTACTCAACTGAAAGAAACGAGTAACATGGGGCACCTGGGTGGCTCAGTCAGTTAAGTGTCCGGCTGTTGATCTCAGCTCAAGTCTTGATCTCAGGGTCATGAGTTCAAGCCTGCTGCTAGACTCCACACCCAGCGTGGTGCCTACTTGAAAGGAGGGAAGGGAGGGAAGAAAGAAAGAGAGGAAGGAAGGAAGGAAGGAAGGAAGGAAGGAAGGAAGGAAGGAAGGAAGGAAAGAAAAAGAGAGAGAGAGAAAGAAAGAAAGAAAGAAAGAAAGAAAGAAAGAAAGAAAAGAAACAAAGAAAGGAAAAAAGAAAGAGAAAGAAAGAAAGAAAGAAAGAAAGAAAGAAAGAAAGAAAGAAAGAAAGAAAGAGCCCCTAAGTTTTACCTGGGCAAATGGCCACTCAAGGTCAAGACTACGTTTCCCAGCTTCCCTTGCAGACAGGTGTGCACATGAAAATAAACTGTGACCAATAGGACAAAAGCAGGAACAGTATGGATAGCTTAAAGTGCTTGCTCTTAAAGGGAATGGGACATAGCTTCGAATGCGCTGACATACCTTCCTGGCCAGAAGACTGGTATGACGGCAGGAGGTGGGGCACCCACCTGAGGTCACCAGACAAGGTAACAAGAAAGAATCAGCCTGAGTCTCTAACAGTGTCGTATCGGTGCTAAATTGCTTTGAGTGCAAATGATCACATGAGAACCAAATTCACTATGTTGTTTAAGCCACTGTTACACAGGCCATTGTCATAGCAGCTGAGTGGCATAATACAATTCCCAGAAAATAACAAATACACACGCCTAAAAAAGATAGTTCGACTTTGTGACTGTCAGATTAATACAGGAATCCCCTGCTTTTCGAAAGTTTGTGTTCCAATACTTCCCATTTACAAAAGACCTACATTAGTACCTGTTTTTGCTAACCAAAAGAAGTTCAAAGAGGATTTTCGCTTTCACCGAAAAAAGGTGAGAAGTGAAAATAGTGTCCAATGTTTGTGTTGCAGCAAGCCACTCTAAGCAGCACGCACCCCGTGCAGCTAGAGGGGTCCCTCCAGACCCCCCGCCCTGCGAACAACAGAGCTTCACCCCAGCTCAAGCTGCCAAAGATTTGAACTGTGTCCGTGAGTGAATGTGCTTTATTCTTTGCATCTGTTAGCAAGATGTGTCCTAAGGTATCAGAAAAGCCCAAGAGAGGTTATTTTGGGGGTCTGGGAATGCTCAAAAACTTTTACCATATAAATTAATGGTAATTGCTTCTTCATTTTAGGCCATTTTTGGCTTACAACAGATTTCATAGGAACATTCTATTTCAGAAAGCGGGCAAAACGGTATTAGAAAATCCCAGTGGTAAGGCAAATGCAAGAATGTATATAATCCACGCTAGATCACTTAAGCATCCATCACCAGGGGGCATTCCGACCTACATCAGAATATGCAATGTCAGTGATTCTAATTCATATATAAAATACATAAATATATATACACACATCTACGTATGTGCAGATACAGAACTTAGACGGATGAGAGCTGTTTTTAAGACTGACACTTTACTTTTTACTCTAACGAAGACATGTAACTTGGATACATTCCCCACCACCAGTAAGAATCAAACACCCAATAGAACAAGCTAAATGTTCTCCCAAAGCGAGGTAATTATAACTGCATCCATAAAATATTTAGGCACGAAAACACAGGTGCAGGAATGAAAGATGGGGCCCCAGCCCAATCCACATGTGGCTCACTTGCAGAGAGGAAATTTGCTTTCCCTGGGCTTGATGGCACAGATATCTAATGGAGGGAATTTCTACAGTGGAGACTATTTTCAAACTAGCTGATCTACTGATTACATGTTTGATATAAATGCCAAAGCAAGAAAAGACTGGCATCATTGAGGAGACAAGGGGGGAAATCTGCCGGATTATCTCATCATGTCCTATTGCTACTAGCGAGATACAGAGTCTGAAAAGTTACAGAACTGTAGAGAAACAAAAGGACTAAAAGAGCAGCAGAAGATGGGTGATGGTCATCACTGTCAACGTGAATCATACTTTGATAATCTTAGGTGATCTCTTCCAAAAGTTTATTGCTACCAAGTTAAGCAAGGGGTGACATGGCAGGAATCAATCAATCAGTAAATGGAAACTATTACTAACAGCCAACATTTCAGCTATCACTTGCAATCATTAGACACTATAAGCAAAACACACTTTGTACAGAATCTCGTTTTATCTCCTGAACCAGAGCTGTGAACTGGCCAGTAGTTATTGTGGCCATTTTGCAGATTAGGAAACTGTGGCCCACAATTTATTCACAACATACTCAATGAGTACCTACAGGGCGCCCTGTACAATAATTACTGAAGGACATATGAGAGCAAAAAAAAAAAAAAAAAAAAAAAAAAAAGACAAGGTCTCTGACTTCAAAGACTGGCATTCTAACTACAGAGAACACAAACTCATACTCCAGCACCATTATGCTAGGCCATCAAGTTTTTAAATTTTTATTATGGTTACTCTTCCAACATGAAGAGAGAATGGCACCTGTCTGTGCAGACTGAGGCCCCATCATCTCCTGCTATCTTATACCTCCCCTGTTTTATGTATTTATGATCCCTGCCTGGCTTCCTGCAGATACTTGCTTTTGGGACCCCAATCATAGAATTATAGCAGAGGCTCTGCTCAAACAATTTTGCTTGTCGGGCCACAAATTCGTAGCCATATGGGTTTCATAATTGGCAATCCCCTCTCCAGACGGCCAGCATAACCATTCTGGACTTTTGCTCCTTTAGCTAAAAGTAAAATAGCAAGTGTGTGTGAGGGGGTGGTAATTATTTTCTACTAGTTCTAATCTTGGTCAAGATGAGGCTTCCTCCTGGCTCTCAGGGACAGCCTTCCTCTCAAGAGATGCTGAGACATGTTATACCTGAAAATCTGCAAAGGAAAGCCAATGAAGATCAAAGAAACAGTGAGACAAGGGAATTGCTTCTAACTACATGACCAAGATTTCTATGGGGACGGTGGTTATAAGTTTTGGGTTCAGGGGTGCCTGGGTGGCTCAGTACGTTGAGCGTCTGATTCTTGATTTCAGCTCAGGTCCGATCCCAGGGTTGTGGGATTGAGGCCTGCATCAGGCTCTGCACGAAGTATGGAACCTGCTTAAGATTCTCTCTCTCCCCACCTCTACCTGTTTCCCCTACTCATGCTCTCTCTCTCTCTCTCAAAAATGAAAAAATTAATAAAAGTAATAGATTAAAAAAACCCAAGTTTTGGGTTCAAAGGACATGGGTTCAAAATCCACCTTTTTCTTCCTGTGCAACTTTGCCAATTCTCATGACCTTTCTGGGCCTCCAAGTGCTCAGCTGTAGAATGAGAATATAACACACCACAATGTTGAAGACTCACTGTTTTAAGGCAAATGAAACCATGAAAACAGTGCCTTACGCTCTGTAAGAACTCAGCAAACGATGGTAGTCAGTGTTTTTGTATTTGACCCTTTTAAAGGCTAGTGCCAAAGGCACTTGGTCAGCTCATGCTGGGAAGCTCATAATACATTTAAGTATTCATATTTTCCCACATCTTCCTCCTAGCTAAGATGCCCGAGGCTGCCAGAAATAATCACACTATTTGTGATCCTATGTTTATGCAACAGAAACGAAATGGAATTTTATGGTCTGCTGTGTTCAACACCAATGTGCACATTGGGATAATTCCATGCGGTACTGTGTAACAAGAATTTATGCAATATCCAACCAAAAGATGCAGCTCCCAGGCCAGCACATCTTTACCAAACTATCAGCTGAATAAGGAAGCCAGCCAGCCCTATCTCCGTAGACTTCATATTTACATATATTAACGTTTTTTAAAATATGTATTTATTTCTGAGAGAGAGAGAGAGAAAAACAGAGCGAGAAGGGGAGGGGCAGATAGAGAGGGACACACAGAATTGGAAGCAGGCTCCAGGCTCTGAGCTGTCAGCACAGAGCCCGACACAGGGCTTGAACTCACGCTGTGAGATCATGACCTGAGCTGAAGTCAGACGCTCGGAAGCAGGCGCCAGGCTCTGAGCCATCAGCACAGAGCCCAACACGGGGCCTGAATTCACGAACCGCGAGATCGTGACCTGAGCCAAAGTCGGATGCCCAACCACTGGGCTGCCCAGGCGCCCCCATATTTACATATTTAGCAGGAGCTCTTTAACTGACCTTCAGAGTAAATCCAATCATATTCATTTTTAAAAAGCAAGCAGATTTTGAAGGTGGAAGTACTTTTCTCAAAGAAATATGTTTCCAATAACAAAACAAGAAGTGACAAAATGAAACTACGAATGAAGAATAATTGCTGTATGGGGGGTAAAATAATTTTGCCAGTTGATAAGAAAGGAAGACAACAAAGAAGAGCAGGGTTTCCTTAGAATCCGTGCGGCCCCAAGATCTCACTTTGGAGCTAAGAATGGGAACGCCATGCTGTGACTAGAGATATGAGTTTGTTATTATAGCCATCTGTGGATTAAACCGTGAAAAATGTTAGGATGACCATCATTCTTGGACAAGGTACTGGCATTGTTTTGTTTTGTCGTTATTTTTATTTTCTTTTGTTTCCTCTTCTCTTTTTTTCCCCTTTCCTTTTCTTTTCTTTCTTTCTTTCTTTTTTAGAGCTACCAAAAGTTAAGAGCCAACTCCGTTGCTAGTTTGGCAGTCCTCAAAAAACATAATCAAGGTAGATCATAAACTTACATATCTGCCTGGGCTGAGGGAAGTGAGTGTGCAGCTGGTGAGAGGTGGCCGGGAAGGCCAGAAGAGGGAGGGCTTGTCCTTTGAGCAGTAACCCTTTGGAACCAAGCACACATAGTACCTTTCCAGAAAATCCAGTGGGCTTAAGGACTTACCAAACTCAACACCCAAAAAACAAATAATCCAGTGAAGAAATGGGCAGAAGACATGAATAGACACTTTTCCAGAGAAGACATCCAGATGGCCAACAGGCACGTGAAAAGATGCTCAACGTCACTCCTCATCAGGGAAATACAAATCAAAACCACACTGAGATATCACCTCATGCCAGTCAGAGTGGCTAAAATGAATAAATCAGGAGACTATAGATGCTGGCGAGGATGTGGAGAAACGGGAACCCTCTTGCACTGTTGGTGGGAATGCAAACTGGTCCAGCCACTCTGGAAAAGAGTGTGGAGGTTCCTCAAAAAATTAAAATAGAACTACCCTACGACCCAGCAATTGCACTACGAGGAATCTATCTAAAGGATACAAAAATGCTTATTTGAAGGGGTAGATGCACCCCAATGTTTACAGCAGCACTATCAACAATAGCCAAATTATGGAAAAATCCCAAATATTCATCAATTGATGAGTAGATTACGAAGATATGGTATATACATACAATGGAGTACTACCTGGCGATGAAAAAGAATGAAATCTTGCCATTTGCAACAATGTGGACGATACTAGAGTGTATTATGCTAAGTGAAATTAGTCAGAGAAAGATATCACCATATGATTTCACTTATATGTGGAATTTGAGAAATTTAATGGATGAACATAGGGGAAGGGAAGGAAAAATAAGATAAAAAGAGAGAGGAAGGCAAACCATAAGAGACTCTTAAATAGAACAAATTGAGGGTTGATGGGGGTGGGAGGGTGTGGGGAGTGCTAAAAGGGTGACTGACATTAAGGAGGGCATTTGTTGGGATGGGCACTGGGTGTTTTATGTAAGTGACGAATCACTGGGTTCTACTCCTGAAGCCAAGACAACACTGTATGTTAAGTAACTTGAGAATTTAAAAAAATAAGAAGAAGAAGAAAATCCAGTGAGTTTAGCTTACCTTAGCTCCAGAGGTGGCAAGGAAGGCAATGTAGTCACAACTTAGTTAAGAAAGAAATTCCAATGACTGTGGACATGTCATCACCCGTAGTATAAAATGGAATGGAAAAGCAATATATCTATGCTGAACAATAATTTATTCATCAAATACTGTCAAGCAGAATTCCAGAAAAAATGGATGTCTACTCCTTTAAACATTAAAATTGTAATGATTTATATAACTGGGGTAAAAAAAAATAGTCATCCATTCAATAAACATTTACTAAATGCTCACTCCATGGGGTGGGTGGTGGCAGGCCATGGGGATAGCGGATAGAGCAATGACTGAGACAAGGTCTCTCCTCTAGGAATTTACCTTCATGAGGCAGCAGTGTAACAAATAATTTTAAAGCAATCAAAACAAGATAACCTGGAGTTAGCTACAACTACAAATGAACCTTCAAGCAGAGTCACTGGGAGTGACAATGAGCTCAACACAGCAAGAGCCAGGAGTAGAGCCTTCCAGGCACGGACAGGAGAGACCCAGGGCAGATGGGAACTCTGCCCGGTGAAGCAGCTGGAAGCACAGGTGAAGCACAACGAGGAAGAGACAGGGCAGTGGAAGACCGAGTCGCGGGGGTGGGGGGGACCAAGTCAGAGTGGCCAGTGGGAGCCAGATGGATCGCAGGGTCCCTGGAGCAAAGGAAAGTTATGTGCCCTTGCTAAGCAATGGATTACACTGGCACTCCCTTCTTTTATGGTCTCCTTTGTAGTGATTCAACAGCACAATTACCAGCATTATTTTTTTACTATGATTTTACTTTCGAGACACCCAGACATTTCGCCCAGTTCCAAAAAAAAAAGAAAAAAGAAAAAAAAGACCCATGGGCTACTATACATTCAGAGTGTTGAGGTCTTTTGTTTTTCAAATAACATTCAATATTCTCCCTCCTTTTCTGCTTATAATTTGTCCCTAACTGAGGAGGAAAGTGTTTCTTAATAGTGGGTAAAAAGAAAGAGGTATCATGAAAAACCCATTCCTGTACCCCAACGTGAACTGATGTGTGATCCTCCTCCTTGGGCTGGTAACTCCTCAG